ACTCCCAGGCCCGTTTTACTGATGGGTGAACATAGACAACACGTGTATGGAAACACACCAATGTTTCTACCCTCGCCGGGAATCGAACCCGGACCTCGCCGTGCGAAGCGAGAGCTTTAGCCACCAGGCCATGAAGCACCGTGTGATAAATTTCCCCCAGTTCTCTCTGGAACGCTTGTCCTTGTCTATTTGCCTGCCGGGCGCTTTTCAGGAACATCTGGTCACCAGCTTACTTTCAGCCTGATCAATTTTTCCGTTCTGCAGGTAATTCTCTAACGGTTTTTGGTGGGAAGCCGGTTACTGAACTCAGGTATGGAGTGTGGGCGTCTTGCTTTGTTGGGGCTTGGCAAGAGGGTCCATCGGATGTAATTGGAAACTTCAAGCTTCTGTTTCTATTTACAAATGACCTGTCATTCTTTTTCTTTCATCGCCCAGGTTTGGGCAACAAATCTTCCCCTAACATCGGCAAGTCGGGCTCGTAAATTGTCAGTGGCCCTGATAAACCCAACAAATAACAACAACTATATTTCAAAATGTTTGGACTGCAAGGCACTGAACAGGCAAGTAAAGTAATTACCTGATTAGCCGGGCTGTGGTTCGTACGTCGGTTTGCGTGCAGACAACAGCAATATCCTGGTTGATCAGGGGCAGATCCACCGAGAAGCCTGGTCACAGACCGGGCCGCGGGGGTGTTGATCCCCGAACCCCCTCCCTAGGTATACTCCAGGTGCTAACCAGAAACATTACGCTCGTTAAATAACCCTAGTCCCTTGTATTTGCACGCTACTGCAACAGTGCAAATTACGGCATTAGTAATGCAGGTAAATATTAGCGCTGAAGATTTAAAGATAATCATTACAAGTGTTCACAAAACTTCACATTACAACTAATATTCTAGTTTCTTCACTAAAAATGGCAAATTAGTACATACATAGTCGATATCCAAATCAGTACTTCTACTAAGACTAAGTAACTTTGAAGCTAAACTGATGAAACAATTGTCCTAAAATAATCCAGCACATTAAGCCTGAAGCTGCTCATACATTGCATCATCAGGTTATCAGCACTGAAGGGATGAAAAATGATCGCATTATTTTAATTTTCCCAGTTCGTTTTCTTTCCCTGTCTCTAAAAACAATATGGGACCTACACAATTCAGAACCAATCCAAACTTTACTCTAAGTACGATTGACTAGGTTTGACAGGACTTTAGTTTTCACTAAGTAACGCACAATGGTCTTGAGAGTACACAGACTGAACAGGCAAAAACGCCTATTATATATCTTTAACCTAAGTTAGCCCAACAAAGTCAAACAATGATATTTATTTTATGATCAATAGATCAGGATAAATATTCTCCAGTTACTTAACAAAACCAGTTTCATTAATAAAACTGACACATTACAACACACACAATTAAAAATGAGGAGAAAGTTTCCGTTGAGGAAAATACATTAATAATTACTGCACAGAATCCAACAAAATTTATACCTAAACAACAAATACCCAAATAACGATACATTCATTTTATTCATCCGCCATTAGAGATTGATAACGATCACAATTGTTTTATTCTAATTAAGACAAAGCGCTAAACCCGTAGAGGACACGTAGTGTTTGTGGAATGAGAGGCATTCATATTTGATCCAAGAAAGAGAGGATAAGTCGACTTCCTTGCATCAAGAGCCTGTGACTAGCATCAAGGCAGCCCCCTCCCCCTTTTCAAAAAACTTAATCCACTTAAGTCATGAAAATATTACTATACTATATTGAGACTAAAAGCGAGAAAATAGCATCAACACTCTCCATTAACACCAACCTTCTACGTATGATACACCATTGCTGAGATTCTGAAGCCGATCAGAAGAGGCTTTCTGAAGTTATCTCATGGAAACCAGTTCGGGAAGGTCTACATAATATTGAACAGAGATCACCCACATTATCACTTCCTTCACGAACATTTACCAAGTAATAGTTAATTATAGTGAAAAATTTGAAGCCGCCATTGGTCGAATATATTGTTAGACGACTGTGTCACTTCAATAAGAGAACAGTGTTAAGGTGACACAAAACCCTTATGTGTCCAGGACTCATTGTTAAGTCTAAATATGAGCTTATAGATACCTTAGTTGCTATCATAATTATTTTTTAAATTATATTGTCATTAGGGTTTAGAATTTCACAAAGGCAATGAAAGATTACTCGTCAATTTTCTTGTGTTGTTATGTGTAATTATTTTACTAAGAACGAATTTTCTAAAGTTAATTATGTGTTTGGAAATATTTTCATGTTGAAAGTTGGCCAAATTTCGCTTTGGATAATAGAAAGAAATATTTAAAACATAATAATTGCTTTATTGCATTAACAAAATTACATTTTATGAGCGTCAGTCATAGTCAAGAAAGAGTGTCGAGCGAGGAAGCAGTTTTTCATCCATAGTAAGGGCGTCGGAAGCCTCCAAAGCCTCCAAAACTACCGAAGCCTCCAAAGCCACCATGACCAAAGTGACCGGGATCTGCTTCAGGCTCAGCGAGAGCTTCAGCGCTTCTCTTCCTCGGTGCCCGAATCCACCATATCCTCCTCTGAAGCCTCCGAAACCTCCAAAGCCACCGAAGCCTCCACCAAATCCGCGATGACCAAAGTGACCGGGATCAGCTTCAGGCTCAGCTAGAGCCTCTGGATCAGCTTCAGCGCTTCTCTTTCCTCGGTATCGAAAGCCACCATATCCTCCCCTGAAGCCTCCAAAGCCACCGAAGCCTCCACCAAATCCTCGATGACCAAAGTGACCAGGCTCAGCATCTGGAGCAGGAGCAGCGCTTGTTGCCACCAAGCAGAAGGCAGCCAGGACGGCAGCAAAGACCTGGTGGATCAACACATTTTATATCATTTAATTACTGTCGTGCAAAGATGATCATTGTTTTAAATACTGTGTAAAGTTATTGTTCTTTACAAATAGTTTTTATAAGCACAATACATTAACAATGTAAGTTTTTACATCTGTTAAGAATATTAACTATATATTGTTAGTTGTAAATTTAAGTGTGCTTGACGTATCCTTCATAAATACTGAGGTATTTGATGGGTCGTCCTCATTCTTATGAAGAGAGATGCTTAATATGCTTGAGAAATTAGATAAATAATATATGTGAGTAAAAATAATGGCGACAAATATAAAGTTGTTGAGAATACTAGTATAAAAATAGCAAGATGTAACTAACCAGAGTCTTCATGGTTGTGGAGGATCTCTGGGTCGACTGTGTCAAGCTGAGGGTGATGCCTCCTTAAATATACCACTCACCAGACCCGCCAGGTAAGTATTACCAGTCATAGTTTTTCCAAGAACGACTCCCACTTTTTTGTTCTGTTCGTTCTACTACTGGGAATTCCATTTTTTGACATGTAGTGAGTAACACAGTTTATATGTATGTGCTTGTACACATGTTTGAGTACTTATCTGTATATGCTCAGTAATAAGTTATTATTAATAACCCACATGAAGACAGTGGGGGTCGAATCTCAGCTCCAGGCTACACCTCTCAAGTTGCTGCTTGCTAGATTTACACATCCCTTCCCTTGTGGGCTCTGTCGCACTTGCTCCTAAAACTATGTATGGAGTTTGCTTCCACATCCTCAAGTCATTCCACTTCCTGTACCACCTCAAAGCAGAATAATTTCTTCCTGATATGCCATTGGCACTTCTGTGTCTTTAACTTCCAATTGTGATCCCGTTTACGTTTTTTTTCGCCTTTCAAAGAGTCATACCTTTTCTATCCTATAAATTCCAATGAGTATCTTGTATGCTGTTATCATTTTTTTTTGTTCTTCTTTCCTGTAAAATTCTCTACTTTATTTCCTTTAGCTGATCGTCTCGGCTCTTGTCTCTTAACCCTGGGACTAGTCTCGATGTATGTCTATGCACTTTGTCCAGTGTCTTATGTTGTTTAATGAGTAGTGGGTACCATGTTGGTTCTGGATAATCTAAGACGGGCCTGACAAATATATATAGGCAGTGAAAAGCTCTGTAAGCCCTGTTGGGTTTTATATTTCGTGTCATGGTACTAACCCTGTGCTACCGCCTGGGTTGTGCTAGACCTACCTAGACTTCACTGCGCGACACACTGTACTCACCTATTTCTGGTTCCAGGGGTCAGTTCACAGCTCCTCGACACAACTCTTCGCTAGTGGCTAATAGTTCCTCTCTCTCCTTGCTCCAAGAGCCTTATCGTACGTCTCCCAAAAGCTGTCTTCATTATTTCACTCATGTACAGACGAAATATGGACCAGAACTGCCCTTGTTTGATTTCCTTTAGTTCAGAAGACCTGACTAGGGCAGCCTAAACACAATGGCTGTAAAAAATAAGAAAAAGCTAAGACACGCCTCACTATAATAATAATAATAATAATAATAATAATAATAATAATAATAATAATAATAATAATAATAATAATAATAATAATAATTAATAATAATAATAATAATAATAATAATAATAATAATAATAATAATAATAATAATAATAATAATAATAATAATAATAATAATAATAATAACCTATTGATACAGCTCATTGGTGAAATTCCTGAAAGGTACTCATAGATTTGTCAAAGGCGCATTGCTGCAGAGGTTGTTCGGTTGATGTGAGCCTGTAGGTATGAAATTGATACTAGGCTCACTTGTCACTAGGTTTGATACTTGTCTCTGTTTCTCTTTCTGTGTTTTAACACATTAAAAGCGCGTTATTCAAAACTGATTGTATAATCATTGAGAAATGTCTGGTTGACGCCGTAGTTGGACAAATGGTAGATAAGTTTCAGTGTTGACGAAAGTAAATTTTGCATATACACATCTTAAATATTACTAATATATAATAATCTTAAATCTGACTAATAAATAATAATCTTAAATGTCACTAGATAAGACATAACTAAAAAAATGGTTCTTGAAGCAATCATAAGCAGCATTATGTATGGTTAACAATGTATATCTTCGAACAACAAGGTTACCAGTGATCTAGATTTCGTAATTAGGAATTTCACTGCAAAATATCAGAAAGAACTTAAAAGTGAATGTCAGGCCACTTCTTCAATATTCTGTCCAGGTTTGGAGTCAAGCTACATAGCAAGAGGCTGGAGAGGATCGACAAAGTAGTAGCAGTTTGTAGAAAGAAGATACTCATGCAAGGTATGTGAGGCTTTTATTTAAGTGAGGGTTGGTTTGAAGTTCTTCAGTGAAATACAGAGTACGTGAACTCGGAAGAGAGTTATGATGCCCAGTGCATGCAGCAAGGTCAACCACTTGTTTTTGTCTCAGGATTTTCCCTGGGTTTCTGAGCAGCAGCAGCCACAAACGTTTGACAATTCATTCTTCTGGCCGCACTATCATTTCCAGAGGCATCTCCGTGCTACACTGCGGGCTACATTACCCGGCCTGTGCTCTGGGCTATCATACCCTGCAGTAGAAACCGTGCTATATTGGATAGAATGGAACAGAGAGAGTAGGAGATGGCGAGAAGGAAGGATGAAGAAGAAGGGAGCAATGAAAGGCTAAGAGGTAGGAAGGGAGGTAGTGATGGAGAAAATGTGGAAGTACAGAGATAGGGAGGGATTAAGAGAGAGGGGTGAAATCTGGGACGGAGTGAGGGGGAGGTAATGAGGGTGGGAGGGGGGAAATTAGAAAAAACAGAGAATGCTTATCTGCAGAAGCTATTGGTCTTTTTTGCACACATTACCCATCTTGTAGAGGGTAACGCATGAGCATTTGGATACACAAAGGCCTAGAAACTAGGGTACAAAAAAGGAGTTAACAGGAGTACATATGGATATATTTCTAAAAATTTTCGTGAAAATTGTATATTAGTTGAAAACGTCTGAAACTTTATTTGATTAATAAGATACCTTGACATATCACACAGTTTATTATCTATCTTTATATTAATCAATAAGCGGACACTGAATCACATAGCGTTCAAGAAGTAACCATAAAGTCGCCAACACATATTTCGTATTTACTTTGATAATCGTGGGTGTCCAGTATATATCAAACTGCAGTATATATCAAACTGCAGTATATATCAAACTGCAGTATATATCAAACTAAGTATAGGTCTGCTTGCTACAAGATTTATCACTCTGTATTACAAGTAGCTCCGTAAATGCGATTACCTATGTTCATGTTATCTCTGTGAATTATATATCTAACCAAGTTTTTTAAAAGTCTTCCTATCACATTCAGATTAATTATTAAACCATACCACGGACGGAGATAGAACTCGCGATCAGAGGGTCATACAACTTCAGACCGACGCACTAGCCACTCTCTAATCGCGGGCTCTATCCCCGGCCGTGGTATGGTTTGTGTGCAATCGTGTCATTACGGTTTCGTGAGTCAGATTAATTATTTACTGTAACTGTCTTAATATTTTTAATACTTGACGCAATACTATCCTCTACTTTTTCCTTCAAAGTATTTTGTTTGCCTAATTTATCAACTTCATCATGGAGGAGTAATTCATTATCTGAAGAAATATATAATAATTATACATTAATGCATCTCTTCCTGATTTCTTTATATTCATACCTGGCTTCTCCGATGAGAGAGAATTAGTTATGATTAAAAGGCCAGGCTCATTGTCGTAAGTTATCTTTATTGCAAGAGATTAAGAAAATGACCTTCAAATTCCGGTGACGATGTTTTTGAATGCAAAATCTGTATTCTTTTTAGGTGTTATTACAAGAAGAAACACTCTCGTGTATTATTTAATGACTGTTTTTTCCCAGAAATGTGCTGCCACCAAGTTCAGATGATCATCTGAATGTAAAATCCCGCCCCTCTCGTTAATGTGGTGTTTGGTGTGGTATGATTAAACTAGAGTGCTGGAAAGGGTGGAGGCATTTTGCGTGGTAAATATCGTAAGAAAGAAAAAGAGAGAGAGAGAGAGAAGAAGAGAAGAGAGAGGGGGAAAGAGAGAGAGAGGGGAGAGAGAGAGAGAGAGAGAGATAGCTGTATGAACGATAATGGACTTATAAGAGAGTGAAAAAAATTTACTTTATGGGTTTTTTGGGATGTCCTTCAATGTGGGATACCTTAGTTTCACTAAAAAAAAAAAATTCCTCCTTGAGCTTCCATGTATTAACTCGAGAAATATTTTCATCTGATCAGTGAAGAGTAAACACTTATCTTCTTAATTTAGGAAAAAAAAAAACATGAGAGAAGAAGCAGCATCAACAACTTGTAACTATATTTCAAGGACTTCTGCGCCAGCGTTCGTTGGTGTGGACCGTCTCTCTCTCGCTAGTAATAATAATAATAATAATAATAATAATAATAATAATAAAATAAAAAAATAATAATAATAATAAAATAATAATAATAATAAAAATAATAATAAATCTTTATTTACTACAAGTACATGTACAAGGTATGCAGACCATAACTGAAATCAGTGACATATTACTATATAGAAAGTCCCTTATTATGCTGAGCATTACGGGCAAAATTAATTCAGTTTTTTTCCCAAAGGAGCGACCACACCAGTCGACTAACTCCCAGGTACCTGTTTTACTGATGGGTGAAATAGCCCAACCATTTAATGGAAACACACTCAATGTTTCTACCCTCGCCGGATGAACGACCACGACGTGGGGGTGTGAGCGAGAGCTTTAGCCACCGGACTGTACACCGTGGTGATAAATGTCCCCATTTTCTCTCGGAACGCTTGTCCTTGTCTATTTCCCTGCCGGGCGCTTTTCAGAAACATCTGGTCACCAGCTTACTTTCCCTCCCTCAATTTTTCCGTCTGCGGGTAATTCTTAACGGTTTTTTGGTGGGAAGCGTTTACTGACTCAGGTAGGGAGTTGGGCGCCTGCTTTGCTGGGACTTGGCAAGAGGGTTCCATCGGATGTAATTGGAAACTTTAAGCTTTCTATTTCTATTTACAAACGACCTGTCATTCTTTTTCTTTCATCCCCCGGGTTTGGGGGCAACAAATCTTCCCTGAACATGGGGAAAGTCGACTCGTAAGTTTTTCAGTGGCCCTGAAAAACCCCAAACAATAACAACAACTATTTTCAAAATGTTGGACTGCAAGACACAAAACAGGCACCTAAGTAATTACCTGATTAGCCGGCTGGGGTCGTACGTCTTTTTGCGTGCGGACAACCACAAATATCCTGGTTATCAGGGCAGATCCACCGAGAAGCCTGGTTCACAGACCGGCCGCGGCGTTGATCCCCGAACCCCCTCCCCAGGCACATTCCAGGTGCTAACCATAAACATTACGCTCTTTAAATAACCCTAGTCCTTGTATTTGCACGCTACTGCAACATGCAATTTACGGCATTAGAATGCAGGTAAATATTACGTAGAATTTAAAGATTCATTACAATTTTCACAAAACTTCACATTACAACTAATTATTTCTAGTTTCTTCACTAAAAATGGCAATTAGTACATACATAGTCGATATCCAAATCATACTTTACTAAGAAAGTAACCTTGAAGCAAAACTAAAAATAAAACAATTGTCCAAAATAATCCAGCACATTAACCTGAAGCTGCTCATACTTTCCCATATCAGGTTATCAGCACTGAAGGGATGAAAAATTGATCGAATTATTTTTAATTTCCAGTTCGTTTCTTTCCCTGTCTCAAAAACAATATGGGACCTACACAATTCAGAAACCAATCCAAACTTTACTCTAAGTACGATTGACTAGTTTGACGGGATTTAGTTTTCACTAAGTAACGCACAAGGTCTTGAGAGTAACAGACTGAACAGCAAAAACAGCCTTATTATAACTTTACTAAGTTACCCCAACAAAGTTCAAACAATGTTTTATTTATGATCAATAGATCAGGATAAATATCTCCTTTACTTAACAGAAACCAGTATTCATAATAAAATGACCATTACAACACACACAAATTAAAATGAAGAAAAGTTTCGTGAGGAAAATACTTAATATTACTGCACAGAATCCAAAAAATTTATCCCTAAACAACAATCCCAAATAACATACATTCATTTTATTCATCCGCCATTAGAGATTGATAACGATCAAATTGTTTATTCTAATTTAAAGACAAAGCGCTAAACCCGTAGAGTACGTAGTTTTTGGGAATGAGGGCATTCATATTGATCCAAGAAAGAGAGGATAAGTCGACTTCCTTGCATCAAGAGCCTGTGACTAGCATCAAGGCAGCCCCCCCCCCTTTTCAAAAAACTTAATCCCTTAAGTCATGAAAATATTACTTTTCCCTATTTTGAGACAAAAGCGAGAAAATACATAAAACACTCTCCATTAACACCAACCTTCTACGTATGATACACCATTGCTGAGATTCTGAAGCCGATCAGAAAGGCTTTCTGAAGTTATCTCATGGAAACCAGTTGGGGAAGGTCTCATAATATTGAACAGAGATCACCCACATTATCACTTCCTTCACGAACATTTACCAAGTAATAGTTAATTATAGTGAAAAATTTAAGCCGCCATTGGTCGAATATATTGTTAGACGACTGTGTCACTTAAAATAAGAGAACAGTGTTAAGGTGACACAAAACCCCTTATGTGTCCAGGACTCATTGTTAAGTCTAAATATGAGCTTATAGATACCTTAGTTGCTATCATAATTATTTTTTAAATTATTATTGTCATTAGGGTTTAGAATTTCACAAAGGCAATGAAAGATTACTCGTCAATTTTTTTGTGTTTGTTATGTGTAATTATTTTACTAAGAACGAATTTTTCAAAAGTTAAATTATGTGTTTGGAAATATTTTCATGTTGAAAGTTGGCCAAATTTCGCTTTGGATAATAAAAAAAATATTTAAAACTTTAATAATTTTGCTTTATTGCATTAACAAAATTACATTTTATGAGCGTCCCGTCATAGTCAAGAAAGAGTGTCGAGCGAGGAAGCAGTTTTTCATCCCTATAAGGGCGTCGGAAGCCTCCAAAGCCTCCAAACTACCGAAGCCTCCAAAGCCACCATGACCAAAGTGACCCGGGATCTGCTTCAGGCTCAGCGAGAGCTTCAGCGCTTCTCTTTCCTCGGTGCCCGAATCCACCATATCCTCCTCTGAAGCCTCCGAAACCTCCAAAGCCACCGAAGCCTCCACCAAATCCGCGATGACCAAAGTGACTGGGATCAGCTTCAGGGTCAGCTAGAGCCTTGGATCAGCTTCAGCGCTTCTCTTTCCTCGGTAAACGAAAGCCACCATATCCTCCCCTGAAGCCTCCAAAGCCACCGAAGCCTCCACCAAATCCTCGATGACCAAAGTGACCAGGCTCAGCATCTGGAGCAGGAGCACGCTTGTTGCCACCAAGCAGAAGGCAGCCAGGGCGGCAGCAAAGACCTGGGGGATCAAACACATTTTATATCATTTAATTACTGTCGTGCAAAGATGATCATTGTTTTAAATACGTGTAAAGTTATTGTTCTTTAAAAAATAGTTTTTATAAGCCCCAATACATTAACAATGTAAGTTTTTACATCTGTTAAAATATTAACTATATATTGTTAGTTGTAAATTTAAGTGTGCTTGACGTATCCTTCATAAATACTGAGGTATTTTATGGGTCGTCCTCATTCTTATGAAGAGAGATGCTTAATATGCTTGAGAAATTAGATAAATAATATATGTGAGTAAAAATATATGGCGACAAATATAAAGTTGTTGAGAATACTAGTATAAAATAGCAAGATGTAACTAACCAGAGTCTTCATGGTTGTGGAGGATCTCTGGGTCGACTGTGTCAAGCTGAGGGTGATGCCTCCTTATAATACCACTCACCAGACCCGCCATGTAAGTATTACCAGTCATAGTTTTTCCAAGAACGACTCCCACTTTTTTGTTCTGTTCGTTCTACTACTGGGAATTTTCCCTTTTTTGACATTAGTGAGTAACACAGTTTATAAGTATGTGCTTGTACACATGTTTTAGTACTTATCTGTATATGCTCATAATAAGTTATTATTAATAACCCACATGAAGACAGTGGGGGTTTGAATCTCAGCTCCAGGCTACACCTCTCAAGTTGCTGCTTGCTAGATTTACACATCCCTTCCCTTGTGGGCTCTGTCGCACTTGCTCCTAAAACTATGTATGGGTTTGCTTCCCCATCCCCAAGTCATTCCACTTCCTGTACCACCTCAAAACAGAATAATTTCTTCCTGAATGCCATTGGGACTTCTGTGTCTTTTAAATTCCAATTGTGATCCCGTTTACGTTTTTTTCGCCTTTCAAAGAGTCATTAAACCCTTTTTTATCCTATAAATTCCAATGAGTATCTTGTATGCTGTTATCATTTTTTTTTGTTCTTCTTCTTCCCGTAAATTTTTCTACTTTATTTCCTTTACTGATCGTCTCGGCTCTTGTCTCTTAAAAACCCCGGGACTATCTCGATGTATGTCTATGCACTTGTCCAGTGTCTTATGTTGTTTAATGAGTAGTGGGTACCATGTTTGGGTTTTGGATAAACTAAGACGGGCCTGACAAATATTTTATAGGCAGTGAAAAGCTCTGTAAGCCCTGTTGGGTTTTATATTTCGTGTCATGGTACTAACCCCCGTGCTACCGCCTGGGTTGTGCTAGACCTCCTAGACTTCACTGCGCGACACACTGTACTCACCTATTTCTGGTTCCAGGGGTCAGTTCACAGCTCCTCGACACAACTCTTCGCTAGTGGCTAATAGTTTCCTCTCTCTCCTTGCTCCAAGAGCCTTATCGTACGTCTCCCAAAAGCTGTCTTCATTATTCACTCATGTACCAGACGAAATATGACCAGAACTGCCCCTTTTTTGAAATTTTCCCTTTTGTTCAAAGACCTGACTAGGGCAGCCTAAACACAATGGCTGTAAAAAATAAGAAAAAGCTAAGACACGCCTCACTATAAAAAATAATAAAAATAATAATAATTAAAATAATAATAATAATAATAATAATAATAAATAAATAATAATTTAATAAATAATAATAATAATAATAATAATAATAATAATAATAATAATAATAATAAAAAATAATAATAATAATATAATAAATAATAATAACCTATTGATACAGCCATTGGTGAAATTCCTGAAAGGTACTCATAGATTTGTCAAAGGCGCATTGCTGCAGAGGTTGTTCGGTTGATGTGAGCCTGTAGGGGGGGGGGGATGAAATTGATACTAGGCCCCACTTGTCACTAGGGTTTGATACTTGTCTCTGTTTCTCTTTCTGTGTTTTAACACATTAAAAGCGCGTTAATTTAAAACTGATTGTATAATCATTGAAAATGTCTGGTTTACGCCGTAGTTGGACAAATGGTAGATAAGTTTCAGTGTTGACGAAAGTAAATTTTTTCATATACACATCTTAAATATTACTAATATATATAATCTTAAATCTGACAATAAAAAAATAATCTTAAATTCACTAATAAGACATAACAAAAAAATGGTTTCTTGAAGCAATCATAAGCAGCATTATGTATGGTTAACAATGTATATCTTCGAACAACAAGGTTACCAGTGATCTAGATTTCGTAATTAGGAATTTCACTGCCAAAAAATCAGAAAGAACTTAAAAAGTGAATGTCAGGCCACTTCTTCAATATTCTGTCCAGGGTTTTGGGGTCAAACTACATAGCAAGAGGCTGGAGAGGATCGACAAAGTAGTAGCAGTTTGTAGAAAGAAGATACTCATGCAAGGTATGTGAGGCTTTTATTTAAGTGAGGGGTTGGTTTGAAGTTCTTCAGTGAAATACAGAGTACGTGAACTCGGAAAGAGTTATGATGCCCAGTGCATGCAGCAAGGGCAACCACTTGTTTTGTCTCAGGATTTTCCCCGGGTTTCTGAGCAGCAGCAGCCACAAACGTTTGACAATTCATTCTTCTGGCCGCACTACATTTCCCCGAGGCATCTCCGTGCTACACTGCGGGCTACATTACCCGGCCTGTGCTCTGGGCTATCATACCCTGCAGTAGAAAACCGTGCTATATTGGATAAATGGAACAGAAGAGTAGGAGATGGGCGAAAGGAAGGATGAAGAAGAAGGGACAATGAAAGGCTAAGAGGTAGGAAGGGAGGTAGTGATGGAGAAAATGTGGAAGTACAGAGATAGGGAGGGATTAAAGAGAGGGGTGAAATCTGGACGGAGTGAGGGGGAGGTAATGAGGGTGGAGGGGGGAAATTAGAAAAAACAGAGATGCTTATCTGCAGAAGCTATTGGTCTTTTTTGCACACATTACCCATCTTGTAGAGGGTAACGCATGAGCATTTGGATACACAAAGGCCTAGAAACTAGGGTACAAAAAAGGAGTTAACAGGAGTACATATGGATATATTTCTAAAAATTTTCGTGAAAATTGTATATTAGTTGAAAACGTCTGAAACTTTATTTGATTAATAAGATACCTTGACATATCACACAGTTTATTATCTATCTTTATATTAATCAATAAGCGGACACTGAATCACATAGCGTTCAAGAAGTAACCATAAAGTCGCCAACACATATTTCGTATTTACTTTGATAATCGTGGGTGTCCAGTATATATCAAACTGCAGTATATATCAAACTGCAGTATATATCAAACTGCAGTATATATCAAACTAAGTATAGGTCTGCTTGCTACAAGATTTATCACTCTGTATTACAAGTAGCTCCGTAAATGCGATTACCTATGTTCATGTTATCTCTGTGAATTATATATCTAACCAAGTTTTTTAAAAGTCTTCCTATCACATTCAGATTAATTATTAAACCATACCACGGACGGAGATAGAACTCGCGATCAGAGGGTCATACAACTTCAGACCGACGCACTAGCCACTCTCTAATCGCGGGCTCTATCCCCGCCGTGGTATGGTTTGTGTGCAATCGTGTCATTACGGTTTCGTGAGTCAGATTAATTATTTACTGTAACTGTCTTAATATTTTTAATACTTGACGCAATACTATCCTCTACTTTTTCTTCAAGTATTTTTGTTTGCCTAATTTATCAACTTCATCATGGAGGAGTAATTCATTATCTGAAGAAATATATAATAATTATACATTAATGCATCTCTTCCTGATTTCTTTATATTCATACCTGGCTTCTCCGATGAGAGAGAATTAGTTATGATTAAAAGGCCAGGCTCATTGTCGTAAGTTATCTTTATTGCAAGAGATTAAGAAAATGACCTTCAAATTCTGGTGACGATGTTTTTGAATGCAAAATCTGTATTCTTTTTAGGTGTTATTACAAGAAAAGAAACACTCTCGTCGTCACTTATTTAATGACTGTTTTCCCAGAAATGTGCTGCCACCATAGTTCAGATGATCATCTGAAATGTAAAAATCCCGCCCCTCATCGTTTAATGTGGTGTTAGGTGTGGTATGATTAAACTAGAGTGCTGGGAGAAGGGTGGGAGGCATTTTGCGTGGTAAATATCGTAGAGAAAGAGAAAGAGAGAGAGAGAGAGAGAGAGAGAGAGAGAGAGAGAGAGAGAGAGAGAGAGAGAGATAGCTGTAGTGAACGATAATGGAACTTATAAGAGAGTAAAAAAATTTACTTTATGGAGTTTATTGGATGTCCTTCAATGTGGGATACCTTAGTTCACTGAAAAAAAAAATTCCTCCTTGAGGCTTCCATGTATTAACTCGAGAATATTTTCATCTGATCAGTGAAGAGTAAACACTTATCTTCTTAATTTAGGAAAAAAAAAAAACATGAGAGAAGAAGCAGCATCAACAACTTGTAACTATATTTCAAGGACTTCTGCGCCAGCGTTCGTCGGTGTGGACGTCTCTCTCTCGCCTGAGTATAATAATAATAATAATAATAATAATAATAATAATAATAATAATAATAATAATAATAATAATAATAATAATAATAATAATAATAAAAATAATAATAATATCTTTATTTACTACAAGTACATGTACAAGGTATGCAGACCATAACTGAAATCAGTGACATATTACTATATAGAAAGTCCCTTATTATGCTGAGCATTACGGGCAAATTAATTCAGTTTTGTCCCAGGATGCGACCCACACCAGTCGACTAACTCCCAGGTACCTGTTTTACTGATGGGTGAAAATAGACAACCGGTGTATGGAAACACACTCAATGTTTCTACCCTCGCCGGGAATCGAACCACGACGTCGGCGTGTGAAGCGAGAGCTTTAGCCACCAGGACATGTAGCACCGTGGTGATAAATGTCCCCAGTTCTCTCTGGAACGCTTGTCCTTGTCTATTTGCCTGCCGGGCGCTTTTCAGAAACATCTGGTCACCAGCTTACTTTCAGCCTGCTCAATTTTTCCGTTCTGCGGGTAATTCTCTAACGGTTTTTGGTGGGAAGCCGGTTACTGAACTCAGGTAGGGAGTGTGGGCGCCTTGCTTTGCTGGGACTTGGCAAGAGGGTCCATCGGATGTAATTGGAAACTTTAAGCTTCTATTTCTATTTACAAACGACCTGTCATTCTTTTTCTTTCATCGCCCAGGTTTGGGCAACAAATCTTCCCTGAACATCGGGAAGTCGAGCTCGTAAGTTGTCAGTGGCCCTGATAAACCCAACAAATAACAACAACTATATTTCAAAATGTTTGGACTGCAAGACACTGAACAGGCACCTTAAGTAATTACCTGATTAGCCGGGCTGTGGTTCGTACGTCGGTTTGCGTGCGGACAACAGCAATATCCTGGTTGATCAGGGGCAGATCCACCGAGAAGCCTGGTCACAGACCGGGCCGCGGGGGCGTTGATCCCCGAACCCCCTCCCCAGGCACATTCCAGGTGCTAACCAGAAACATTACGCTCGTTAAATAACCCTAGTCCCTTGTATTTGCACGCTACTGCAACAGTGCAAATTACGGCATTAGTAATGCAGTAAATATTAGCGCTGAAGATTTAAAGATAATCATTACAAGTGTTCACAAAACTTCACATTACAACTAATATTCTAGTTTCTTCACTAAAAATGGCAAATTAGTACATACATAGTCGATATCCAAATCAGTACTTCTACTAAGACTAAGTAACTTTGAAGCTAAACTGATGAAACAATTGTCCTAAAATAATCCACACATTAAGCCTGAAGCTGCTCATACATTGCATCATCAGGTTATCAGCACTGAAGGGATGAAAAATGATCGCATTATTTTAATTTTCCCAGTTCGTTTTCTTTCCCTGTCTCTAAAAACAATATGGGACCTACACAATTCAGAACCAATCCAAACTTTACTCTAAGTACGATTGACTAGGTTTGACAGGACTTTAGTTTTCACTAAGTAACGCACAATGGTCTTGAGAGTACACAGACTGAACAGGCAGAAAACAGCCTATTATATATCTTTAACCTAAGTTAGCCCAACAAAGTCAAACAATGATATTTATTTATGATCAATAGATCAGGAAATATTCTCCAGTTACTTAACAGAAACCAGTTTCATTAATAAAACTGACACATTACAACACACACAATTAAAAATGAGGAGAAAGTTTCCGTTGAGGAAAATACATTAATAATTACTGCACAGAATCCAACAAAATTTATACCTAAACAACAAATACCCAAAAACGTACATTCATTTTTTTTCACCGCATTAGAGTTTTGATAAGATCCAATTGTTTTATTTTTAAGGCGCAAAACCCGTAGGGACACGTAGTGTTTGGGGAATGAGAGGCATTCATTTTTGTCAAAAAAGAGGGATAATCGACTTCCTTGCATCAAGACCTGGACTAGCAAAAGGAGCCCCCCCCCCCTTTAAAAAACTTAATCCACTTAAGTCATGAAAATATTTACTTTTTAATTGAGAAAAAGCGAAAAATAGACAAACTCTCCATTAACCCAACCTTTAGATGATACAAAATTGCGAGATTCTGAACCCTCAAAGAGGTTTTCTGAAGTTATCTCATGGAAACCAAATTGGGGAAGGTCTACATAATTTGAACGGATCCCCCACTTATCACTTCCTTCACGAACTTTTTACCAATAAAGTTAATTAAGTGAAAAATTTGAAGCCGCCATTGGTCGAATATATTGTTAGACGACTGTGTCCTTCAATAAGAGAACAGTGTTAAGGTGAACAAAACCCTTATGTGTCCAGGCCCTTTTGTTAAGTCTAAATATGACTTTAGATCCCTTTAGTTGCTACAAATTATTTTTAAATTTTATATTGTCATTAGGGTTTTTTAAAAAAAATTTACCAAAGGCAATGAAAGTTTACCGCCCCAATTTTCTTGTTTTTTGTTATGGTAATTATTTTACAAAGAACGAATTTTCTAAATTTTAATTATTTTTTGGAAAATTTTTCATGTTGAAAGTGGCCAAATTTCCTTTGGATTCATTTTTTACCAAAAAAAAAGAGGATAAGTCGAGTTCCTTGCATCAAGACCCTTGAAAATAAAGGCAGCCCCCTCCCCTTTTTAAAAAACTTAATCCTCTTAAGTCATGAAAAAAATTACATACCAAATTTTAGATAAAAGCGAGAAATAGTTCAACCTCTCCATTTTAACACCCAAACCCTTTTACGTATTTAAAAACCATTGTGAGATTTGAGCCCATCAAAGAGGCTTCTGAAGTTACTATGGAAACCAGTTCGGAAGGTCTCATAATATTGAACAGGATCCCCCCCCCCACATTTTCACTTCCTTACGAACATTTACCAAGTAATAGGAATTATAGTGAAAAATTTGAAGCCCCCATTGGTCGAATAATTGTTAGCGACTGTGTCACTTAAATAAAAGAACATGTTAAGGGGAACAAAACCCCTTTTGTGTCCAGGACTCTGTTAAGCTAAAAAGAGCTTATTTACCTTTTTCACAAAATTTATTTTTTTAAATTAAAATTTTTTCATTAGGGTTTTGAAATTTTTCAAAGGCAATGAAAGATTACCGTCAATTTTCTTGTTTGTTTTTGTAATTATTTTATAAAAACGAATTTTTTAAAGTTAATTAGGTTTTTTAAATATTTTCATGTTGAAATTTTGGGCCCAAATTTGCTTTGGATAATGGGAAAAAAAAAATTTTAAAAAATAATAATTGTTTATTCATTAACAAAATTTCTTTTTTTGAGCGTGTATTCAAGAAAGGTGTCGAGCGAGGAAGCAGTTTTCATCCAAAATAAGGGGGGTCGGAAGCCTCCAAAACCTCCAAAAAAACCGAAGCCTCCCAAACCACCCTGACCAAAAATGACCGGGTTGTTTAGGTCGCGAGAGTTCAGCGCTTCTCTTTCCTCGGTGCCCCCAATCCCCCATACCTCCCCTGAAACCCCCGAAAACCCCCCAAAGCCACCCAAGCCTCCACCAAATCCGCGATGACCAAAGTGACCGGGATCAGCTTCAGGCTCAGCTAGAGCCTCTGGATCAGCTTCAGCGCTTCTCTTTCCTCGGTATCGAAAGCCACCATATCCTCCCCTGAAGCCTCCAAAGCCACCGAAGCCTCCACCAAATCCTCGATGACCAAAGTGACCAGGCTCAGCATCTGGAGCAGGAGCAGCGCTTGTGGCCACCAAGCAAAAGGCAGCTAGGACGGCAGCAAAGACCTGGTGGATCAACACAGTTTATATTATTATTGAATCACTATCTAGAAAGATGATCATTATTTTAAATACCGTGTGAAGTTATCGTTGTTTCCAATTGTTTTTTATAAAAGCAGAGTACATTAACAAAGCAAATTTTAGAATCTGTTATGGATGCTAAGCATTGTTAGTCCTTTTTAGTTTAGTTCAAAAGTAATACAGATCAGTGGTATTTAGTTAGTGATTCAATAAGTATGTGTTTTGACTCACTGTAACTGGAGCCTCATCAGTGTATGTACAGTGAAAGTTAATAATTATCTGTGTTGTAAATTTAAGTGTGATTGACGAATCCTTAATGTACACTTAGGTATTTGATGGGTCGTCGTCATCCTTATGAAGAGAGATACTTAATATGCTTGAGAGATTAGATAAGTAATATATCTTAGTAAAAATATAAGGCAATAAATATAACGTTATTGAAAATACTAGTATAAAATAGCAAGATGTAACTAACCAGAGACTTCATGGTTGTGGATGTTTCTGGGTCGAGTGTTGTCAAGCTGAGGGTGATACCTTTTTATTACACTCACCAGACCGCCAGGTAAAGTATTACCAGTCGTAGTTTTTCCAAGAAAAACTCCCACTTTTTGTTCTGTTCGTCCCACCACTGGGAATTCCATTTTTTGACATGTATTCAGTAAAGTAGTTTCTATGTATGTGCATGTATATATATGTGATTTATATTTATCTATATGTGCTCAGTAATAACCCACATGGAGACAATCGGGGGTCGAGTTCGGCTCCAGGCTTCACCTTTTCAACTTGTGCTTGCTAGATTTACTCATCCCTCCCCTTGAAGGCTCTGTCGTACGTGCTCTTAAATCTATGTATGGAGTCTGCTTGCACATTCTCAAGTCATTATATTTTCTGACCACCTCAAAGCTGAATAATTTCTTCCTGATATACCCTTGTCACTTTTATGTCTTCAACTTCCAACTGTGTCCCAGTGTATCTTTTTTTTACCTTCCAAAGAGTCATATACTATCTTATAAATTCTAATGAGTGTCTTGTATGTTGTTATCTTGTTTTTCCTTGTTGTTCTTTCCTCTAAAACTGTGTGCCTCATTTCCTTTAGTTTATCGTCTCGGCTCTTGTCTCCATAGGGTCAGTTTCATATAAATTATCCAAATGGCTTGTTGATATTTTGAGCCCTATTGTTGGCAAAATTTCTAACTTTAATGTTAAAAACAACATAGACTTGGTTGATAAATTAAGCTCCTTGACTGACCTAAATGATTTTAACATGGTTAGTTTTGATGTTACTTCCTTGTTTACGAAAGTTCCTGTTGATGATTTATTAAGTTTCTTATCTGAAGAACTCTTTAAAACTATGATTTACCATTGCCAGTTCCTCTATCATTAAACTTATTAAACTTTGCATTGTTGATGCAAAATTTGTATTTAATGATAAATTTTACACTCAGAAGTTTGGTATGGCAATGGGAAATCCTCTTTCACCTGTTCTTGTAACCCTTACATGGAATTTTTTGAAACAAGGTTACTTAACACAATCCTCCCTAATAGAGCTAAATGGTTCAGATATGTTGATGATATTTTTTGTCTTATGCCCAAAAATGTGATATACACCATTTCCTTGGAAAATTAAATAGCTTAGCCCATTCAATAAAATTTACTGGGTTTAGTTTGAAGAAAATAACTCATTGCCTTTTCTAGATGTTTTAATTATTAAGGGTAAAAAATGATTCAAATTTAAAAATTTTCAGAAAACCTAACTAATAACTGTTCCTATGTCCACTTTATTCCTCGCATCAAGATAGAGTCAAACTGTCTGTTTTCTCATCAATTTTTTTGAGGTTTACGAATTTGTAGTCCTGAGTTCATAGATGAGGAAAAATCCAAAATTTATGAAATAGGTAATGATTTAAAATACCCAAGAAATGTAATTGATAAATCTTTTAAAATTGCCAGAAATACTTTTTACAATCCAAAAGGGACAAAACCCGCCTTATTCAATAAAAATATGTTGGTTCTCCCTTACCATGAAAACTTGGTTGATATTGCCTTCTCTTCTTAAGACTTTTAATATTAAAGTTGTATTCAAAAATCTCGATACAGTAAAAAAACTTTTGATAAAGAATTCCCCCCAAAATTGCTGATGGATGTGTCTATAAGATTCCTTGTAAAATTTGCGATAAAGTTTATTACGGTCAAACTGGTAAAAATCTCGAACTAAGATTAAAACAACATAAATATAGCATTAGAAACTGGACAAGATTCCAATGCTCTATTTATTCATGTAAGAGATTTTAACCATCCAATTGATTTTCAAAAAGTTGAGAAAGTAGTATCAAGCAAGTCCATGGTCGACAGGAATATAATTGAATCTTGTTTCATAAAAAGCAGTTTTGACAATAATATGAATATTTCCTTTGGTTTATATAAATTAGATCCATTTATAATTAATAGAATTTGGGAAGAATTTAATAATACACTGGACAAATAATCTTTAAAATTTCTTATTTCTTGGGTTAGAATAGTTTGTGGGGTGAGTTGTGCCAAGGACCTTTCCAAGTTGGCTCGCCGCGCGTCACGTGTTTAAACCGTTGTGGGATCTGATAGTGAGGTGCCGACCAGACCCCTTATATAGCTTCCTTGGATGCTTTACTTTCATAGTTCCTTGATAATGTGAGTAGTCACGAAAGCGCTTGGAATTTCTCTATTCTTTCAGAGTGGTTGTTTTGCATATTCTGAAATCACCTGTTTACTGTGATCTTATTGCATATATATATATATTATATATATATATATATATATTATATATATTATATATATATATATATATATTATATATATATATATATACATATATATATATATATATATATATAATATATAATATTATATTATATATATATATATATATATAGATATATAGATATGCATATATTATATTGGGTGTGAAATGCTCTTTAAGCTCTATTGGTTTTTATATTTCACGTCATGGTACTAACCCTGTGCTGCCGCCTGGGTTGCGCTAGACCAGTGGTTCCCAAACTGGGGGTAAATTACCCCCTGGGGGTAATTTAACCATTTTTGGGGGGGTAATGGAGAGGTGACAGAAAAAAAGTTATGAATTCTGAAAATCAAGAAAACAATGCGGTACCCGGTATGATTATTATTGTTAACTTTGTCTTAGTATATAAAGTTGTAAAGTAAACCTATTATAAGTAAGTAATAAAATTAAACCAAATAACAATAAACATCAAAAACTAATATACAGTATTAGAAAAGAAGAAATATATAGCTAAGTGTGTGGAAACCCAAAAGTATTTTGACAAGTATGCTTCAGGACAAAAGTCACTCAGTAGCCCAGATCGACCTGTCCAGTACGCGTCACTCACTTCTGAGGCTGCCTCTATTTCACACTGTCAGTTTATCTGTGAGCATCAGCCGAGGTAGACATTAAGCTGGTATGTATGTGTACTGCCCTGTGCAGTATATAGTTAGTATTTACCACTGTTACTGTGAATTTGTAGTATTATTAATTTTATATATAATGTATGTGTGGTTCTTACGTTTTCAATGGTTTTGCTAGGATTAGCAGAGTATGCGAGGCTGTATACGTTCACGTTTAGCCATATATATCAATAATAACAACATTTTGTGAAAGGGGTAACATGCTTTATGTGGCATGTTAAATGGGTAACAAGATGAAAATGTTGTGGGAACCACTGCGCTAGACCTACCTAGACCTCACTGCGCATTATGCTGTACTCGCCTATTTCTGGTTCCAGTTGTTGATTCACAAGTCATGGACTCGCCTTTTCGATAGTCACTAGTAGGTCCACTCTTTCCTTCCTCGAAGAGGCTTATCGTACCTCTCCCAAACCTATGTATGGATAGGCCTTCCATTATTTCTCTCACGAGCAGACGAAATACGGTATCAGAAATTCTCCCTTTCTTTGACTTCCGTGGGGCAAGGTAGGCCTGGCTATGTCAGCCTAAACCAGTTGCTGTAAAAAAATCCTCCCAACCCTAAATAGTGGTAAGACACGGCTACTATTCACCTCACTATATAATAACCTATTGTACAGCTTATTACTGAATTCCTCTTAGAAAATAACCGCACATAAGAGAGAGAATCTTACGGACGGACGTTATGGGCGGGTTATTTGTGTATTGTTTCAGGCACTGTATTGAGCCTTTATGTTATTTATTCCTGTTAGATTTTGAGAAAGGCGCATTCGCTGACAGATGTTAATTCGGTTGACGGTCAGCCCCAGTGATATACTTGGTGTACATAGGCTCACTCCAAGGTCTTTTCATTAGTGTGTGTACTCACCTAATTGTGGTTGCAGGGTCTGAGACTCAGTCCTGTGTGTGTGTGTGTATGTGTATTCACCTAATTTGTACTTACCTATTTGTGGTTGCAGAGGTAGAGTCTTAGCCTCCTGGCCCGTCTCTTCACTGGTTGCTACTTCTCTCTCCCTGCTCCATGAGGCTTTATCAAACCTCGTCTTTAAAAATATGTATAGTCCCCGCCTCCATACGCCCCCCCCCCCCCCCCCCCCCCCCCCCCCCCCCCCCCCCCCCCCCCCTCGCTTTGTAGGCTATTCCACTGTCTGACAACTCTATGACCTGAAGAAATACTTCCTAACATCCCTTTGATAATCTGACTCTTCAACTTCAATTGTGACCCTTGTTTCTGTGTCCCCTCTCTGGAACATCCTGTCTTTGCCACCTTGTCTATTCCGCGCAGTATTTTATATGTTGTTATCATGTCTCCCTGACCCTCCTGTCCTCCTCAGTTCGTTCAGGCCGATTTTCCTTAACCTTTCTTCATAGGAAACTTCCCCTTAGCTCTGAAGCTAACACTTGGTTACTCACTATTTGTGTTGCAGGGGTCGAGTCTTAGCTCCTGGCCTCCGTCTTACACCGGTTGCTACTGGGCCCTTCTCTCTCCCCGCTCCATGAGCTTTATCAAACCTCGTCTTAAAAATGTGTATATGTTGTTCCTGCCTCCACTACGTCATTTTCAGGCAATTGTGTGTGTGTGTGTGTGTGTGTGTGTGCATGTGTTGTGTGTGTGTGTGTGTGTGTGTGTGTGTGTGTGTTAGTTACCATTTTGTCCTAGGCACATGTCGATTAGACACAGGCTGTTGTACGTGTGTGTATCTGTGTGTGTGAGAGTGTGTGTGTATAGTGTGAGAGTGGCCATGTTGTGTCTGTGTGTGTGTTTGTTGTTCTGCGTCTGTGTGAGTCTTCTGTGTGTGTCTGGTGTGTGTGTGTGTGTGTGTTCTGCATGATGTGGTGTGTGTGTGTCTGCGTGTGTGTGTGTGTGTCTGCGTGTGGTGTGTTGTGTGTGTGTACCACTGCGTGGTGAGTGTGTGTGTGTGTGTTGTGTGTGTGTGTGTGTGTGTGTGTGTGGGTGTGTGTGTGTGTGTATGTGTGTGTGTGTGTTGGTGTGCGAGTTGTGTGTGTATGTGTGTGTGTTGTGTTCTGCGTCTGTGCA